TAATAAATACAATAAACCAGAGTTAAATTATTAGAAGTATTGATGTCATCAGCAGCATCAGCTACAACGTGCAGGAAAATCACATGGTCTTACCAGACGAGAGCTCCTTCCCTGATTCTACAACAAACAAAAGATTGAATAAATCATTAGAAAAAGCACAGTGTATTTTATGCTTTCTGTTTTATACTGTCACACAGCTCATACAAATTGATTTGTTGGTTTATCAGAAGAGAATCTGCTGTTCAGCTGTTTGAAACTGTTGTGTCTAGTCAGTCTTGCGGCCTTTGACAGCAGTGCTGATATCACAGGCCTTCCAGTTCAGTCACTCACTACAATGAGCACTTCACACAAATTCTTTCTCCTTTGTCTTTGTCTACCACTCTGTCTCCCTCTTTCACTTCTCTGTGTCTCTTTTTCCTCTCCCCTTTTTTCAGTTAGACTCGCGTGATAACAATGGAGTCAGTGTTTAGATTTTTGCAAATCCTTTTCTCTAATCAGCTCGCAAACAAACACTGCTCCCCCGTGCTTTTGCACCACTTCCCCTTTATTTCTGTCTCTCTCTCAAAGGCTCTTTCCCTCAGACAAAGTCACCGGTAATCCTTAATATTCCCACATTTCTTTCCGCATTCCACTTTTCACTCTCTGCATGGGTTGTGCTAATTTCTAGCTTTGGTCTACATGGCCACCCACTGGCTTGTTATTGTGGTTTGCATTATGAGCAGCATGCTGACATTACATCCAACACTGCAGAGGTGCTGTTAGGGAAAAACACGGTGACCTTTTGCAACTTCACATTTGTGCAATCTGAAAGGAAAAACTCTTAAGAATATACTAATCATATATTCAGTGATGGAAAGTACATTTACACATTTGAGATACTTGTACTTTACTTGAATATATACTATTAATATTTTTGCACACAAAAGTGCAAGTAATATTAATCTAATGATATAATATATAATAAAGTAACAGGGGACATTTGACTACTTATAATACATTATTATTACCAGTGTACTTTTACTCAAAGCCCCTACAAGAAACTTTCATTTTGTATTGATTCTGGCGGCTCCTGTGGAAAAAAACTGATGTTTCTACTACTCCGTTTCATTGATTTCCAGGGGAATCCGACTTAATTCAGCCCTGCGAGAAATAGCCAGTCTTCTCGATGATGGTCTTGTTTTTTCAAGGTCATATAGAGCTACATACATATTTAACTAGTGATGGAGTATTTTTTACATTGTGGTATTTGTACTTTTATTTAAGTAAAGAATCTGAATACTTTCTACAGCACTGCACAAATTACATTAATCAGGTAGTATTTGAAAAAAAAACTAAAAGAGTAAGTGATTTAAAGGAAAATGTCTAATTCCTAACACAGCATGTCAGTAGTCAACATGAGAGAGTGGGTGCACTACATTGCATCTTCCCACATGCACTGTCTGTCTAACCTGCAGTGAAGGAAGTGAAGATGAGCCTGTGGTTGAGCGGCTGTGTAGTGCGGAAGTTGTCCTGCAGCAGCATCCTGTCTGGGTCTTCAACTTTACTGGAGTAAAGTATCGTCTCCATCTTTAGCAGCTGTAGGGCAGACGTGAAGGAGAGAGGGACGGGGAAAAAATCAATTGCAAAAAACTGAAAGTAAGTTGACGGACATAGTGAAAATTCAACATTAGGCTGAAGTAAAAGTTTATCAGTAGATGAAAAATGGTAAAAGTGATTCAGTGAGTAAATGTTGAGTCATGTTAACAGTTTTACTTTTCTTTTCTGGCACAAATAAGGACAATTTAAAGTTGTTACTAAATTCCTACATTGTAAGCTGATTAAAGAGGCTGACCTGCTTCTAATTGGGACCCTGCTTTTAATAGAATTTTTAAATCCTAAAAAAAGAATTGATGTTGATGTTTAGGAGGAAATTGCTGGACTTGTTGATAGCACAATGTTGACAGCAACCAAATCACAATGCTGGCAGTATAAGGGAACACATTCTCAGCTCATCTATACTAATACAATAATGTACTGAATCGCAAGCACTATTATTATTCAGTTTACAAATAAATGATATGTTCTCTGATTTGATTTGATTTGATAATAGAACATAGGAGTCCAATACTACAATTCAAGAGCGCAATAATTAACAATTTTCGGTTGAAACAGCCAAATAATTTTTAGTATTTTTGTATTAAACCTCTTTAAATTAAGCATCACTGCTTCGGTTTACAAATGTTGGTTGTGCAGAAAATGAAAATATGCACATCACCAAGGCCAGTACAAAGTAAAGTGTGAATATAGGCTGTGTTTATCTATTTATTTAGGCATTAGACATTTCAATGCATGTTGGATCAGTTTGTCTTATGTGAGATCCACCATGGATAAAAATTGAATCAGTGTCTGCATGAAAGGTGAATATTAGGTTGAGCCGTGTACAATCTACTTCTGTACACTTTAGATGAGCTTCAGTGTCTGAGCTTTACCTGTGCCTTTGAGATTTGGACCCTCTCGTGAAACAGTGTCCAGATCACACTCTGGTAGCAGGGCGGCGTTGTTAGGGAGCCATTGTAGCGATAGTAGCGTCCCAGATCCTTAGGGAGCAGCGACTGGATATCAAAGGCTGGGATGGACGCCTTCTGATCTGCCAGTGGGTGTAAGGAGGAGGGAAAAAAGAGTATGTGAGGTTGTATAGATTCTACTGCTGGAGCCAAATACAATTATATATATTTTTTTTTTAAAAGAGTTGGTTGTAGCAACACACAAAAGAGAAACTGACAGCTGTGCCGTTTTCATCTTTCCATCATTGTCCCATCAGTATCTTATATGCCCAAAGCAACGTGTTTCTTTTTATGTTTTTCCTTAGATCAAAATATGTTTGTAGTCACATAGCTTTCCTTCTTTTCTGACACATTTCCATCCAAAGATTTAAGTCTATTCACTTGATTATAAATGAAGTGTAAAGAAAGCCAAACAGCAAAATGTTTTTGTACATTTCAAGTGAACTTACCAGCATGTCTGATGCGGCTCAGGTAGTTGAGGATTTTGTTAAATGCCGGGTTAGTCTCCTCACCTGTCTGGGAAACCGAAACTCAGGCTTAAACGTTCCTTACATTGCTCAAAATGTGTGAAACAATTACTCTTATTCTTATTTCTTTCATAATGTTGTGTATTGCTGCAGTTTGTTGTTTCTTACCACAATTAGAATTCCTAAAACAGCCAAACCATCCCTCTGTGTCATGGCTGCGGACATATTGGGGTAGAGCTCAGAGTTGTAGTGCACCACATGTAGCTGGAGAGAGGAAGAACAGTGTTAGAGCAAGAAATGTGTCCTGGTTTCTCCTCGTGACAGCTGAAGGTTAAAAAATAAAAGAGAAAGAGGAAAAGCTGTGTGCAAGTTTTTCCTTCTGAGAGTATGAAAAGAGTGATGAGGAGACTGATGTCAATGAGAGAGAACTTAATTGTCTCATTATGTAATTACACCACTCATACATGACAGGTTCCATTTTTTTAACAAATATTTGTCCTCTTTGTGTCATCAGCTGATTTTTGTCTTTTTTAATCTGCTTAAATTCCCTCATGCTTCCTCCTCTCCCACCGCTGTGCGCTGGCATACCTGGACACTGACAGATGGACAGGAATGGCTTACCTTCCTTCTTTTTCCACTCTTTCTCCATCTTTTCTCCTTCCTTAAAAGGTTATTCAGTCACTCTCTTAGGCAATCTATCCCAAAACTTTCTCATGTGCTGCTTTTGCTCTCTGCACCCCTCCCTCAGTGTGTTCTAGGAGATGAGTTCAGTGTTCTGTTTCCATTCCTATCCCACACTAAACCAGAACAGGGATCCAAGGTCACTCAGCTATAACAGGTGTGTGTGTGAGAGAGAGAGAAAGAAAGTGTGAGGTAAAAACTATGGCACGAAAGAAAGAAATAGTCAAACTTCGCGCTGTAACCCTGAGGCATGAAGACAGAAACCAACAGTGAGTTAGTTCAACTCTCAATACCTTGCAACTATCCAAAGTCTGTGGACTGCCCATTTGTTCCTACTTCACACGTAAATCTTAAATAAGAGGGCCATAACTATCATTTTCATTATCAAGTAATCTGCAGCTTATTCAATCAGTTCATATTTTTTAATATATAAATGTTAGCATTAAATGTTAGCATGAAATATTAAAAATATATATATATATATGGGCTCCACCATTTCTCAGAGGTCACTGTAATGTATTTAATTTGCTTGTTTAATCAATCTTAACCTTAATATATCTAGATAATTTTTTTCTGTTGATCAACTAATCGACAATTCGACTAATTGTATGCTCATACACTGCTAAAATCTGCAGTGTAATCCATTTTAATCTGCTGTTAATTCTTTGTATAATTACAAAGGGCTCATTTAAATCTCACTTATCTCCAAAAGGTAGAAAGTTAAGTGTACAAACACATAACTGGCATGCTAAGTGTATTCTCTTTTGTGTCTGTTACTTTACACATGTACTGTATGTCTGTCTTTGTTTTATGCTTTCTCATGAACCTATAATGCATTCTTTACACAAAATATTATTCCATGTTTCAGTTCATCCTAATTCACAAATGTCACCTCATTAATTTGTTATTCTTTTTTCCATAACCATGAACAGAAAGTTGATTTCTGTGGATGTAGACTGTGTTTTTCTCATTTAAATAATAACTACTATTATCACACTACTTGACCTTGACTGCCCTTCTCTTAAATCACAACTCGACTTAGCTGTGGTTTGCATTGCACTGCGAGCTGAGTTTGAACGTACCTCTGCATCTGCACTCAGTCCGTTGATGGTGTGTTCGCTGCCCCTGTGACTCGGGCCGCCGCTGCCCCAGTGGAGGTGCATTTGCACAGCTGTAAAGAGCCAGGGCAGCCCCTCCAGCCCCATCCAGTCAGGCAGCTCGATCACCACTGATCGAGAGAAGAGCAAAACGAGAGTTAAACAGACTAGAGAAGTTAACTGAACAATAAATACTACGTAGGCATGTGATCAGAAACTGCAATAAAACATTTTTTTATATAAAATTCTTAAAAAAACTTATCTCAGGATTGTTTTAATTGAAAGTCAAACATTTGCTGCTAGGTTACGATTGAGGATGGTGCAGTATAAATAGATCAACCATAAAGCTGCTCGGATACCAGGTAGCCGCCATAGTTACCTGTGTGTCCGTTATTGTACAGAGTGAAGGGCTTGTAGCCGTGCTGACTGTAGCCCAGTGGGGTCAGAGGGATCAGACTGGGGTCATATTTAGTCTGGGTGGTTACGACATCGACGGGGGACTGAGAAGTGCCACCGCAGTCAGGGAAATACTGTGACCACTCAGACTGACCCACCAAGCCTTTTGAAGGGAGAAAAGACAGAAACAATGATGTCACCCAATCACACAGCCCACTGGCTCTCAGTCATTTAGTGAAAAGCCTCCATTGATCAGACTCTAATTATACAAGACAATTATACCTCTATGTTCTCTTTAGGTTCACAGCCTCATGCTGGTGGATTTAATAAAACGTATAATAAAAACAGAAAAAAAAACATATACTGATTGTATAACAGTGCATAAATGGTCATAATAGGCAACAAAAGCCTTTTAGACATACAACATAGTGTATCTGTGACTGCACTGTATGAATGCTGCTCTGCATCAGACAGTCAACACTAAAACTGAAATCTAACTCAAATGCGGGTGATATGAAACAAAGAAACACACAGACATGAGTGGCCATAAAAGCAGGTGATGCAGGCACATAACTTAATAACTAATGTCGACTGATAACAACCACAACATAATCAATAAACAGTGTCACTTCAGCCTTATATTACCTCTCCCAACCTTGGTTGTACAGTGTTATCCAGGTGTCCTGATCTCTTCGGTATCATTGTAGTTAAATTACAGAAATAGATATGCCTCATAAGGTATAGATTTCATAAGGTTTCAGTAACAATGGTAACAATAGATGTTTTAAATTAAACATTGATTTGATTTAGCACGAAGTAATATTAAATATCTTTTTTTCTAAGACATTGAAATGAGATAATAACAAAAATTTCCAATATAAATTAATTAAGTGTCCTGTTCTTTATGTCAGTAAAATTATTTTGTCCTGTTTAAAGTAAATTCCCACAGACATTGGACATATTTAAGATTTACAACTGAATACTGACTTGGTAAAATTGTTTTCTTTTCATTCTAGACAAAAATATTAAAACAGCAATTTTTTTTTAGAAATGTTTTTGTGGTCATAACTCAGAGGATTGGCAAGTCAATCCTCTGAATCCTCTGATCACAGTTTTATTTGGTTCTAGTGTAAATGTTATGTGAAATTGCAATTTTGATTCCTGAGTGACAAATTCAACTTTTAAACATATTAAAAAATATATTAAAATATTATATATTTTTTTAAATGATAAAAATGTCGAATGTTTAAAAGAATTGTACTTTTAGAAAGACAGCATACAGACAACATCAGCTTTCAGACAACAACATACTGTTGGGTTCCTGCCAGCATCTACTGCATGTTGCAGGTCCTCTGCTATGTGCTGCTAATGTCTATTAAGCAGCAAGTGTATACTACATAATTACTGTAAACTATGCTCTATATATTTCAAATTCTTAGAAACACTTCATTCATTATTGTCTGACAACTGACATTAAAAATAAGAAGAATTTAATTAAAAGATGGACAGAGAAATATTGAGACAGCAATTGTAGGAGAGGAGAGTGATTGAAACTGTGGTTCACTGAGTAAAAAAGAAAACTGGTCTCCCCAACTGCAGAATAAAAGAAACTAAGAAAAAAGGGACTGAAAGAAAAAGAGACTGACATGTGATTCAAAGAATCTGAATTTCAATTGCAAGGAGAGGAATGCTTTAGAAAACAGACAGAACGCTGACACCTTTTACACACAACAAAATGTGAGTAGTGTGCAAAAAAAAGGTATCCAATCCTATATCTGCAGTTGCAGGTTTAATTGTTAATTAAAATGTAAATTTTATGTAAACACGTTAAAGAAAATGGGTAAGACTACTTAATGGGTAAGACAGACACATTTTACATTTACATTACACATTACATTACATTACCTTCTCCTGTACCCACACACACAATGTACGGAGGGCTTAACATTACTGATGTAAACACATACCTCTCCCACTGCTCTCCCACTGCCTGCAACCCCCACCTTGCACTTCTAATCTCCTCTCTGCCCCCTAACCCCTCGCTACTCCCCTCAGCAAAGACCCGCACCCCGACCCAACTTCAAAAGTGAGTCCCGCGGCCCCGCCGCTGGTCGTCATGGAGGTCTCCATGGTAACCGGAGGCCGAAAATTCTGACCCTCTTTGCCTGCCTCTACCTCTTCCCCTAGCATGCTATCCCTATCCTGAATACAGCCAGGAACAAAACACACACACATGCAGATTCCCTCACTTGATTCATGATGAGGAAATGATGGAATGTGAGACTGACTTTGCCTCCATTACTTTACATAACTCTGCATCTCTCATCTCTAGTAAGCAAGAGGCATCTTCGAAAGCGTGTAACTCTGCTCTCTCGTGTGACAAAATGTTTTGTGCATTGCAAAACTGTCTTTCCACTTCAGTTAACAGCTCAGCAACAGCCACATTATGCAATGCTGTATCACACAACATGCCTCACACACACACACTCTCAAGCACTGTATGGACTGTGTGTGAATGCCAGTGAGTTTTATTTTGAAAATTCATAAAAAAAATGTGTTTATCTTAATGTTTCTGAATGCAAGACACATATCGCTCAACACAATGAGATTACACCACATGTTACTGCACAATACACTTGCCTCCAGTCCATACATATAATAATTATGCCTAAATGGCCTGTGTATAGACACCAGTTTGCTCCAGGCACCGCCTCTACAGTTAGCTGTGTTTTCTGTATGTACTGTACATTAGTATTGCTCTCCTGAATACATGCAGGGAGCAGTGGTCTGTGTGCCCCATTCATTCCCACAATGTCATTGTCCACGGCATAGGCAGCCAGTGTGTGTCCACAATACAATAAACACATAGGTTATTGTGCGCTGCAACAATAAGGCCACGATTTGGTATGCTTTTGCTTCATTCCGTCCCATCTCCCTCTCTCTGTCCAACACCCTCATCCCTGTGCACCTGCCTCCCTCCGCCTGCCTCTCTATCAGCCTTTTTCTTGCTTTCTTCCTCTCCATCTCCCACCACCCCTTCATCATCTCTGTGTGACTGCTGTGCTCATGCCAGCTTGTTGAACTGTAACTAATACAGACAGAGAGGGAAGTAGCGGAAAACAGAGGGAGAAGGGTTGGAAGATATGAGGGGGGAGAAGAACAAATCCTACTTAACTTACAGAAGCTGTTATGATAGTTCTAATGTTTTAGAGATATATGTCCTACACATGCAGTGAAGTCAGGGTTGCATATAAGCAGTTTAATGCAGTTATTTACAACTTATAATTTATTACTTATTTATTTTATTTTTCTTTATATTTATTACTATTAACCTGTTTATTACAGAGCTGAATTCAGGATTGTGCTCCTGGTCTGAAAATAAAAACTAAAATAAAAACAAAGCTCTTAATAGTCAAGATCATACCCTCTGTGTGTGTTGTTATGTACGATGTTTGTTTCTCACTTTCGGCTACACTATGAATTACTTTTGTATGAGAGTTTGCTTCTACAAATGAACTTGAACTTACCAGTGTATGTCCAGGCAATTTCCTCTGAAAAAGAATAAAGAGAAAAACTCCTAAAACTCTTATTTTAGTCAGTTCTTATTCTTTAAGTTCACAGTGGCTCTAAATTAGATTTTTGATAAATGTTTGCCATGACAAAAGAATCATAAATATTATTTATTTCACCTAAATACAAGGTTATCATCACTTCTGATCTACAACCACTGCTGCTTCTAATATTATTCCAGTACAATTCTAGACAACTAGTAGTTGACTTATTCCTGACTAAAGTATTACTACAGTCCTCAAATACGGCTCAAATCTAATTTTACTACTGCTCCACTACTACAGCTCACACTGAAACACCCAAACAATCTACAAAACCAATCCTAAAGCAAAACAAATCTCACATGATGCTGATTGTGTTAATCAGGAGGACCTTACCAGCAGCGGGGGCGGCTGTCCACTGGACACACAGAAGCAATAAAAGGATAAAAAGACCCAAAGAGTCCATGTTAGCCCTCCTTGCCCATACACAGAAATGAATAAAAGTGGACGGAGAGATGAGGAGCAAGCAAGGGAGAGACTGACAGAGCGAGAGAGAGAGAGAGAAGGGGGGGCTGACTGAGTCCAGCGATCCCACCTGCCACAGCTCTGTTTAACAGCCAGAGAGTGGATGTTACATGCTGGCTTCACTCTGGCTTACGGGGCACCAGAACAGGTCTCGGCAATAGACAGATGGAGAGAAAGTATGAAAAGGGAAGAGAGAAAGAGTGGGCAAAGGTGGTGAGAACTCAGGGAGAGAGACAAGACCTCAAAGAGGGACCAGTGAGTGAGAACTAATTCAGTGCTGGTTGTTGAAAAAAAAAAATGAGGGTGATACAGCAGAGAGTGAGAGGACAGAGAAAAGGAGGTTACTGCATGGGAACAATGGGATACAAAAAAAAACAGCAATTGGAGTAAAGGAGAGTAAATAAAAGAGAGGGAATGAGGGGCCATATGATGCAAAAGTCCACAGATCACAGGGGAGGATTGAACATGCATCAGTCTGAGAGGAAGAACTGAGAGAAGAGAGGATGAGGATGTATCACAGTGGTTCCCCAGTGTACATTGCTTACAAGGCAATATATGATATGTGAGCAGATCAATTTATGTGATCTGTGATAGTTTGCCACTTCATAGTGTACTCGACATATCAAATAAATGTGAATTGTATACATTGCTTATTTATGGTCTACATTATATGTGAGGAACATCTTTTATATACTGTACATCTTGTATTTTTAATTGTATATTTATATTCATTATTATTTTATATTATTATTTTATTTTCTAGACATTTGTGTTTTAATTGAGCGTGAAACTTGAAAAATAGGCATATCTGTTTCTTATTTCCTACCCCAGTTATTATCTTGCAACCCCTGAAAACCCAGTTTGTCTGGAACCTCTGGGCTGGCAAAAGGCCTTTTTAAATGTATGACTTTATAACTGTGTAATATGGAGGCTAGTCTCCATATTTACATAGGGTATCTTTATTTTTATGAAAGAATATATTTATATTATGTGTTTTATATATCTTTGTAATCATTATTTTATTTATTGAATCATATTATATCATATCACACAATATATGTTGGCCCCCATTCATATATGTTCTGTATATAGAGAGTAATGCTAGGCTACATAAGTATCTATACTGTATGTGGTAATATATATAGTATAAGTATAATTTGTAATGTATGAAACATGTATTAAAGTGGTAAGAATTAAGCAAGCAAAAAATGTTATACGTGTGATAAATTTGGGGAGTCGAAAGGCCATTTTCACATTAAGACATTTGACATTAATGAAATAATAAATAAATAAATAAATAATAATAATAAAAACACAGGTGTAAATAGTAAAATGAACAGTGGCTGACAGTTTCAGGTATGGTTCACACTGGCTCACTGTCACACTGTCATGTCTTACCGGGACACTTGAATAGAACAGAGCCATCATTAATATTATTATATTAAATTATTACATTATATAATATAATAACATATCATTATATTGTTATTGAGATCAACACCTGTACCTTTACTACTTCAACAAATCCAACAATGTCTGCTGTGAAAAAGGCCCATTGTTACTTTCACCTTCAATTATTTGCATATAACCTGATATAATTGCCTGATTCCTTGAAATGAGGTCTTTTTATTTCAAATGTTCAACATCTAACTGTCTCTGTTGGGATTGCACAAACTTACATCATTCTGTGTGAAAATGCTTTTATGTTTCAGTATGTCTCTATTAAAAATGTTACATAAAACTGTTAAAACTGTAGACCAAACGTTTGGGTGACTTGTTCAGTTTTGAACACTAGGGGGCGCCCTCTCCACGTGACATATTTATAGACAAATCCACCCTAAAACATCATTTACATTGTGTCATTCCTTCCTATAACATTGTAAAGGTTGGTTACAACCCTGGTTGAGCTCCACAGACACAGGCAGTGACAGGCCTGTGGTCATTTTCATTGGAAAATGGTCATTCATAGCCACTGTAGAAAACCCATCTGTGAGCCCTCCAGTCCATCACTATTTTCATTGTCAGTGGATCAAACTGCAGACTGCTGCCCCATTACATCACCAATTAAAGTTCTGATGCACCAACTTAATCACTGGTGTCTTTGGGGTGGATTTACCCTTTAAATAATCAATGAGTCTTTTGATCTAGATTACATCACATTCTGGAGTCAAGGATAAGCTTAAAACATTAAAAATAAAACTGCAAAGGTTACATCACTTACTGCATTGAGTGTGACAGCTGGAGGAGAGCCATTGTCTGGACTATTACATAGATAGATAGATAGATAGATAGATAGATAGATAAATAGAGTTATATAGATAGATAGATCACCTTAGCCTGTGATTACTATTAGTTATTGACAAACCATCATTTTCCTCCAGAATGAATTTAAAGACATTTGGTGTGTGGATTGTTTTCTGTAAGCAAAATAAACTTATTTATTCCCTCTATGGGCTCTTTTTGTTGTTTTACCCATAGACCATAAGTCAGCCTCGGTACAGACTGTATCAGTCTAACTAATAACAGGTCTGTAAATCCGCTGTTTGCTCTCCGCCTCTTCTGTCTGCCTCTCCATCTTTTCACACTGTGTACCGGACCGCTCAAACGTGAAGGCCTCAGCAAAATTATGCAACAGCAGTAACCTCTGCCGGCCTCCCATTGGTCGCTGAGCGTTCCGTCGAGGGGGCGTGGTTAGAATATCTTCACACACCATTGGCCGCGTCTTCGCAGGGGGCGTGTCAGCTGACTTCATTCACAAATCTACCAGCAGAGCGTCTCTCCGACATGTGAACGTCCCTCTGTTTATACTGATGAACACATGTCCCGGCTCCGCGAATGTGAGCGGGGGAGAGCGCTGCAGCCCCGGTACAGGAAGGACTTTCTCGGGCTTTGAATAGACGTCAAGGCTTGTTGTGATTTATGGTCAAACTTTATGATAACATACAGGCCTATTGTAGCCTTGTTTCATGAAACCACTGGCCATTTCAATGTCCACATTTGATAAGTAGTGTTCCGTATTCAGTGCAGAGTCTCTTAGTGTGACTATCTGAAAAGGACCAGTGTGTGACTGAAACGGAGTTAATGGTTGATAATATTGCCTGTCGTGCATTGAAATGTGAACTGCACTGTGAAGGCACTGAGGCATCTGCAACCACTTGCATAAACAGTATAAAGGGAATATATATTTCACTTTTTCCTTTGTTTAACTGTTATATTTCCAGTAGAATAGCTCTTGAAGGAAGAGAGGACTGACGGACAGGTGCAGGACAGAGTGTTATTGTTAACCAGCTGCCCCGGTTTCCAGGTGAAATATGATATGTTGCTCAGCCTTTCCAAGTAGTGGAGACAGTTTACTGTTTAGTCTCTCTTTAGGCCTCGGTTCAGGCGGGTCAGATTTCTGATATGCTACTTGTGCATTTTGCCTTACAACTCCTTTCACTACCGGAATGCCTGCATGCTTTCACGATGAGCAAGACTTCAAGACAAAACTTTCAGGAACCTTATCAATATGAATTAAATATATATTAAACATATAATTAAGCTTTCTCAGTCTAATCCTTAAATAAACAACAGGATCCTCTGCTGCTTGGCCTACATGTCACATGAGGACACAGGCCTCAGCAGTGAATTTACAAATCATTTACACTGTATTTGAACTTCAGATGCAGCGTAACAGATTTTATTCCAGATGCGCTTCACTCTATTTCCACCTTGAGAAACCCAACTGAAGAAGGCTGTATTTTCCATATTAGGGACCAATTGACGTGTTGCACTTTGACCCAATTCATCGCCAAAAGCACCAGGCTTAAAATTGTCTCTCCTATTGAATTCTCAAGCATGTCAATACAAGGGACAATAATGAGAAGAGGATGGAGAGAGAGAGAAAAACAACACAGAAACCAGGTGGGGGATGGGACCAACAGGAGGAAGGGAGAAATGATGGGGGTGGTCTTCAGAATCCATGAACTCAGAGGAGGTTCAACGGGTTCATGTGTTGCTGAGGAATGCTATGGGGAGTGGAAAGCTTTTTCTATCGACCTGGTCCCTGCTAAGTATACACAAATAGGACCCTTTCCCCAGATTTGCTATTAACAAAGGTTAACTATTATCGTGTTTTGACAATAAAATGGGGTGGTTTGCTCACCTGGTGTCAAGGTTACTAAGTGACCGTATATAGCTTTAAAGCTCATGATAGGTATTGTTAGTCAAACAAGGCCACAGCCTGTGTGTGCGTGTTGAGCAGAGTGGTCGATGGGTTCATGAGTATGTTGTATGTATAGTGGGGGAAGGGAAGATCCTTCATCCCTGACATGCAAGGCGCCTATAGGCATCCACAACTTCTCGTGCTTTAACCAGGCATTTCACATCTAAAAATACTGTTAAAAGCCAGCCCTGTGATCTAAGTCTTGTGAGGAGAGAAAATACCAATACATTTGATGAGTATGGGGCAGATAATGTGTGTGTGTGTGTGGTCTATACATATACATTGATGGTATACTGCACTGGATGTTTCAACAGCAGGTCACTGAGTTCATTTTGTAGTAACCTAGAGAGGGGGAGGCTGCTACATGGCCATAGATCAAGGTCTGACTTCATCGATCACTAGAACTTACATTTTGATGTATTAGTGATCTTATTTTAAGAATTAAGTCTCAATGACACAAAATGGGGGGGGAAATATATATGTTTTTACTAAAATTAAGTAAAATATCACCTTTTTATTTCCTCTCTCTGTCGTTTTCCTGTTCTGCAACCTCAACGATGGCAACACTTTTTGTAAGGGAATGTTAATGGATGTTTGTGACACTAAACGTTTTAGTTGCAGAGCCGGTTGGACAGTATGACTTACAAGGCAATTGAAGAAAGTACGGTACATAAAACCCCTTGAGATAAAACTGCAATAAATATACAAAACTAAAACAATGTGACAATAACACATTTGGTGACAGTTATAGTAGCCAAGATATTTCAGATTAAAGGGTTAAACAATTATGTTTCAATAATAGGTTGACCTATTCCTGGCAGTATTGCGCAACCCCAGCCATTAAAAACATTATATTTCAGCAAATGTCACATCACATAGGTTATTTGGCCCTATAGGATCCTATAGTACAGCATAGGCCTATTGATGACTTTACTCTTGAAGAGCTTTGTAAGAAAGGCTGAAGTAAGGAGGAGGGAGGCACGGAGGTGTATATTACTGTGTATATTACTGTTGTATATTATTAAAGTTGAATCAAAAAGAGGGTTATTAATGTTGCCTGGAGACTGACTCTACACACAATATACAACATAAAAGTGCTACTCTAATGTCATATAGGGTGTAATAATGTTATGTTCTTTTGATCTGAAGGTGATTGTCAAGCCTGTTTCACAACTAATATGTTTATTTTGTCGGAATGTATTTTACACCCCCAACAAACGTCCTTATTTATTTCTCATTTTAAATGATAGGCTTCCTCTCCTCTGATTATAGGTCTGCCGAAGAGTCATCTATGGTTGCTGGTGTGAGTTGGCTCTGCATGCATTTATTCAATTAAACCCAAATCAGTATTCCTGAGTTGCATAAGGTTTCTTATTATCCGGGGTGCGCGTGCTGTTGTTGTTTGTTTTCGGGGGGTGAGGGTGAGCGTGAGGATGCAGGTTTAGGGGTGGGGGGGAATCATAAATACTGTGTGCATCAAATGCATAGAACATATTGTGCATCTCTCGGGCTGGCGCCGTGGTGCGTGCGTGTGTTTACACCCGCTGTAGCTGTAGTAGAGCAGCCCCCTCCCCACCACCACCACCACCACCATCAACCCCTCCACAGGCTCCACACCACGCACACGAGTGACACATGAGTGGGCAGGACCGTGAGTGCCCGGGCCGCCGTCCAATCAACTGCGAGTAAAGCAATCACTGGCTGGAGGGGTCGGCCAATGGCGTGCGCCCCTGCCGGGACGTCGGCCAATGGGATGCGCGTAAAACGTGGGCACGTGGATTCGCGCACATGCTGATGCTCGTAAACTGCCGAGAGAAAGAGCCAGCGGAGACACAAACCGATGAACGGCCGGTGTGTGTGTGTGAGTGTGTGTGTGTGTGTGTGTGACTGAGAGAGAGAGAGAGAGAGAGCAGAGAGAGAGGAGCGAGAGAGAGCAGAGAGACAGAGAGACGAGCAGAAAGAGGACAGAGGAGAAAAAGAGTGAAGGCTGGGCGCCCCGATGCGTGCGTCGCACGCTCCGGAGTTGTGTCACTGAAAAGGATGCTGTCGTCATCAAGCGCGCCGCGCGCCGGTCCGGAAAGGTAAGGCGAGGAGATTAAAGCCGTTTAAGCGACTGTTTCCGGCAGTGCTATCTTCAGCTCTCACCATTAGTCCGAAGGCTGACGTCTCTCCGAACCTGGGTGCTTTTTCTGTCTGTCTTTTGTTTTAAGGCTCGAACGTTTCAGCCGG